TGCAGCCAACTCTCAGGCCCTGCTGCCATCACAGGACTGCTGCTGCTCCAGCCCCTCCTTTCCACTGCCCTGAGGGAGCCCTGGGACTGACCAGGCACACGCTGGCCTTGTGTGTGGCCTCCAGAGAAGCTGCCGCCAGCCACACATGGCTGTGTGGGGGCCTTCCAGTGGCCTCCGGACCCGTGGCGGCCCTGTGTGCAACAGAATGAAACACTCCCTAGTCCCGCGCCAGCCTCGTAATGCTTCATTTTTGCATTCATGGAAATTAGAACACTTTTTATAGGCAATTAGCGAATATAAGCTGAGTCTGCACCAGGACTCTGAAAACCTTTAAAACAATGCTTTCTGACTGTTGATTGGTTTACTTTTCCAATTTGCACCCTTGAAGACGCTTGGCAAGTTAGAACCAACAAAGAAAAGGTCGATCCGAATTGCTCACAGAGACAGCCAACGAGTGTGAACATACCCCTAAACCAAAGCCAGTCAGCCAACACGTAGCTTCCGCCAAGCCTGGTAACCCTCCAATTTCCACACGCCACCCAAGGGGACCTGAGTGCTGTCGCGGCCGTTTGACGGCTAAGAAGCAGAGCTGTAGCATTAAGGGAGCCTCCGTCACGTCAGGAAAAGGCCTCCGGTGGTTCTGCCTGAGCCCATTGTTGCAGCCACTCTGTTCACCCCGTCCAGGGTCCTCCTTTACCAAGCATGGTGTCCTTTTCCGGGGACTGGCCCCCCCGATCACAAGACCAGAGGTGATAGGGAAACTGAGGCATGGGCGCTGGCTGCCCAGGGAAACCAGGCCCCCCAGCCCAGAGCTACCCCATCCACAGCTTCCCTCCGATCGTGTGAGGGATGCCGCGGCCCAGCTGGTGGTGGGCATCCTGACAGGGTGCTGAGGGAGCTGTGTGGGCATGAGGAGGCCATGGGTGGTTGCACCCAAACCATGTCTTCCTGCCCACCCGGCTGGGCACCAACGGGCTCTCCCTGGTCCTCATAGGCAGTGATGCTGGACTCCACCGATGTCAACCTGTGGTACAAGATCGGGCAAGTGGCCATGAGGCTGGTCCGCGTGCCCCTGGCCCGCCATGCTTTTGAGGAAGGTCTGCGGTGCAACCCCGACCACTGGCCCTGTCTGGACAACCTGGTCACCATCCTGTACACGCTCAGTGACTACACAAGTGAGCCCACCTGAGATCGGCGCCAGGCCTGGGAGTGGGGCAGGGAGGGAGGGCGGT